GGCCAGGTGAGGGTGTGTGGCGGGGGGGGCAGCCGGCGGCGCGCGGGGACACGGCCGAGCCCCAAGCTTGAGGGGTCGCGGTGGAAAGGGAAGGTGACGGGAAGAGAGCGGGTGTCAGATCCCATCGCCTCTGCCGGGCTCAAAATCTCTCCTGGTGCCACAGTGAATATTTCACCCTTCTCCGCACTCCGGGGAGTAAACAGGCAGGAGCGTGCAATTACAGCGATGTTGTGCGTCTGGGTGGATGGACGGACGGACGGACGGACGGAGGGATGGGTAGATGGACAGGGAGCTGCTGGCGAGCGGGAGGCAGCGGAGGCTGGAGGAGGGCGAAGGAGACAGGGGTGGCTGGCACTGGGGCGCGGGGACCAGAGCACCCGGGAGGGAGGGCGAGGGCTGCGGTGGCCGGGACACGTGAAATTACTCTGTTTCATCATAGATTTTTTTGTCCGGCTGCACATGCGGAGCTGGAGCAGTGGCAGCCCCCGTGCCCGCTGCAGTGGCTGGGCAGGGCTGGGGGCTCGGCGGGCAGCTCCTCCGGGCTGTGGGCCACTCCATAGTGACTGCCAGCTCTCCCTGACCATCTCCCTTCTGCTTCGTGCCTCCCGCAGCTGGCAAAGGAGAGCGAGCGTCTCCAAGCAATGATGGCCCACCTTCACATGAGACCTTCAGAGCCAAAGCCTTTCAGCCAGCCTGTAAGCGTACGTCCCCCTCCTGCCCTTGTCCGTCCCTGCAGCCGCCACCTCTCCTCCTCCTTCCCCTCACCGCTGGCTGCCATCCCCTCCTTGCCCTGCGCATGGTCACCATGGCCCTGCATGGCCCGGATGGACAGGCTCCCCAGGACAGGCATACCCTGACCACACTCCGGTGCGCGTAGCTTGGTCCCTTGTGCTGGTGCAAGGCATCAGGTGGGAGTGAAACGCAGCCTGTGTCCATGTTGTGCTGCTCTTAACCAGCCTGGCCATGTACTGGATACATCCCGTCCCATGGTTGCATCCTCTTCCATGGTTGCATCCCGTCCCGTGGTTACATCCCGTCCCACGGGTGCATCCCATCCCATGGTTACATGCTGTCCCATGGTTGCATCCTCTTCCATGGTTGCATCCCGTCCTGTGGTTGCGTCCCGTCCCATGGTTGCATTCCGTCCCGTTGGTTGCATCCTGTCCTGTGGTTGCATCCCGTCCTGTGGTTGCATCCCGTCCTGTGGTTGCATCCTGTCCCTTGGTTGCAATCCATCCCTGTCAAGCCCACCAAGCCTCCCCACGGCAAACCCCTCGCTGCCTGCTTTGCGGAGTCAGCCCCGCCGAGCTGCCGGTGTGCCGGGAGCTCTCCCAGCCCCTGCCCTCCCCATGCTGGTGGCCAACTGCCTGCCCTCCCTCCCACTTCTCCATGCAGCTGAACCTGGTCTCCAGTGCCACCCTCTCCAAGAGCACTTCCGACACGTTCCCCGACGGCTTACCTCATCCCCCCACCTCCGCCACGGCGCCCATCACCCCCCTGCGACAGGGCCCCTCCGTCATCAGCTCTTCCACTTTACACAACGTTGGACCCATCCGCAGGAGAAACTCGGAGAAGTTCTGCACCCCGATATCTTCAGGTGAGCTCCGGGATGGGGTTCAGCACCCTCCGTCATGCAGTCCCCGGGTCCCAAAGTGGGTCACTTCATTCCTCACCACCCCATTTCTTGTTCCCCCTCCAGAACTTGCACAGAATCACGAGTTTTACAAAAACGCAGACGTCCGGCCGCCCTTCACGTACGCCTCGCTTATCCGGCAGGTGAGTGGCTCCCCGCGCCACGGGGTTCAGCTCACCACCCCAAGACTCACCGCAGGGGCATCTCGGGCAAAGCCACGCTCTCCCCCACTTTCTCAGTCCTGGAGGAGCCCCCGTGCCTGCTGGACCCCCATTTCTGCCCCTCATGCCTCACCTCTGGGTGGGCGGAGCCCTGCTGGGGCATTGCAAGTGATGCTCTTGTCCCCTCTGGTTTCCCAGGCCATCCTGGAGACCCCCGACAGGCAGCTAACGTTGCAGGGGCATCTCGGGCAAAGCCACGCTCTCCCCCACTTTCTCAGTCCTGGAGGAGCCCCCGTGCCTGCTGGACCCCCATTTCTGCCCCTCATGCCTCACCTCTGGGTGGGCGGAGCCCTGCTGGGGCATTGCAAGTGATGCTCTTGTCCCCTCTGGTTTCCCAGGCCATCCTGGAGACCCCCGACAGGCAGCTAACGTTGAACGAGATCTATAACTGGTTCACGCGGATGTTTGCCTACTTCCGGAGGAACACGGCCACCTGGAAGGTGAGAGCAGCCCTGCTCAGCGCCGGGGGGCTCGCCCCGTCCCACCCAGGGCCACCCCACCCCACCCAAGGCTGAGTGGAGATGCTCCAGCTTATGTGGGCACCTGTGCTAAAGGACCAGTTCGTTGCACAGCTCCGAGATGGTGCGGGAAGTGCTTTGGTGGGTAGATCCCACATTTTCCCCCGCAGAATGCAGCCCTGGTCCCTGGGGCCGCGTCGTCCGTGCGGTGGGATACGGCGAAGGGCTGCGCTGTAGCAACCCTGGGGCTTTCTGCGGGGCTGGGGCTGGAGCAGAGCCGCCCGCCCGTGCCGGGAGAAGGGCAGGGACCAGAGCGAGGCACTCGAAATAGCAAAGAAGGTTAATGATAACCCGGGGGCGGGCGGAGATGCCGCAGCCGGGCTGCGATACGCGGCGGCTGGGTGTCGGC